TTATTCTGGATAACAGCGTGGTCCAGAAAAGATGAGAGATGTTTGAGGAAAAGGGATGAGAAGACGTATCAGCAAATGCGAATGTGTTACGCAAAATGACAACGAAAGCAGCAGGGGCAGAAACAACGTGCGAATCTTGGTTCTGGAAAAGTTGAGAGATACACTTCAAGCGTGCTGGAAAGACGGGTTCAGTTATGCTGAGAACAATACGTGGAGCACTCTGTGAAGGAAAAGAGGGGGGCAAACTGGCGGGGAGAGCGAGTGTTTTAGGGATAAAATTCTTTAGCCTCACTAGCATAACCGACTCCGTACAAATGTTCCGGACCAATCTGATAAGACATATAACTTACCGACTGCACCGCCCCCAAATCTGTCAGCAGCGTGATAATTCGTTGTTGACAAGGCATACAACTAGGATGTCGCAGAAGGCGCATAAGGTGCATTTTTAGTTCCTTCCGTACACTTTTCACTTGATTTGTCGCCAGAGTCGGCGGAAGATTGACATGCAGTGCTTCCAAAGCGCCTGAAATTAGTTTGGTTAGAAATCGGAATATGAGGAGCTCAGAGATATTTTAGAATGCTAATTTTTCATTATGCAGAATATATTCACGAAAAGGTACTGAACCACTGTTTGTGTGTGTGTGTGTGTGTGTGCGTGTGCGTGTGCGTGCGTGTGTATGTGCGTGTGTGTGCGTGTGTGTGTGTGCAACTGCTGCAGCACAAAAACACATAAAAGCCGAAGAAAATAATGCTTTTAAATTGCGGTAAGCATACCCACAACTCGTTGCATGAACTGAGGACGTTGCTGGGCTATGTTACAGATGCAGGTTAAACAGGTGAGTAGATTCAGTGATGTGATATGTGCCGATGAGATATGATCGAGCATCGAATTGAAACTTAACAATGCCTCATTTTCCATTTTCCGATAGGAAATGAAACGATGGTCGCGGCCGATTTCGTTCAAACACATATGATCTCCACGACCTTTAATGCTTTCCTGAAATCGGGAAGAACACCGAAGCAGAAGAAATTTCTTACTAAGGTTTACTTTTCCCCACGTGAAATTTTTATACGAATGTTAAGCAGACTTCAAAAATAAAAAAACTTCCGAAGAAAAAAAAATGGAAATGAGCACCAAGACTACCAGCAAGCTAATCAAGAAATTATTTGTTCGGATTACAAATACGGAAAAATTACTAGTTACATTAGTGAAACAAACAAGCGCTATGATGATGAAATGGAAGTTGATTAAAGCATCGCAACACAGAACAAATCTTACTGGAATGCGCGGTGTTTGTGCGAGAATAACTGCTTCCAGAAACCTGATTACTTGGGTACGTATGCTGCAAAATGTATGGTAAACAAAAAAGGAATCACTTTTAAAATTTAGCAACTTTAATAAACAAAACGTATAAAAAATTATTAGAATAATACCCTTCGTTATCGGAATCTATGTACTGCATAACGCGGCCTTTTAATACGGAAAAAGCTTCCCAACAACGAGCAACTTCGGCACTGCGTGAGCCTGCTGCCCATTTCAGGATGTAAGGATAGAGCTGCGAGCAAACACCGATCACCTACAAAGAAAATGTTCCGAAAAATGCAGCCACAAAAAACAACCTTAACCTCAACCAACAAGTTTCGCACAACAAAAAAAAATTTTTTTAATTTGCACATATTTATGGCTAACGAAACTTAGTCGATGATTCAGCCGATGTCACATTAACAAAATCTATAAGGCGAACCGGCCTTTCAATAATTAAGTAAAAATAAACATGGCATTTTGACCTCTACTATTAATAAATGAGGTTAAAGTGCCGAAGTTAACGTGGCATCCAAACTGGTAAAGTCTGATTTTTTTTTAATGCCTGGATAAGCGCAAATACATCTAACAAGTACCTTTACCGTGACAAATACATCTAAAATCACCAGAAGCAGATCCACCACGGTGCGACTCAGCAGTTCTTGTCGCAGCAGTTACTAAACTGCAGCTAGCCACAACAGTGACATGGAGGTGTCCAGTGTTATCAAACTACCAAGAGTATGGTAAGCACTTAAAAAGCAATTATCAAAAGCATGGCACACATTTGAAAAGCATAAGCTACAGACAGTGAAAAACAATGAAATGTTTTAGGTGCCACTGACTGCTGGGTGCTTAGTTGGAAAAAGAACCAGAGCCTGAAACATTTCTGATTGCAACACAATCACAAAAGACAATGGCAACTGACTTTTTTGACAACAGAAATGAAGCCATAACCGCCACCGCCGGACTGCAACATAAAGGATAGTGGAAGAACGGCTTTCTTCATCACATCGCAATCCTTCTTACTTAAACATGTCATATCTTCTGAGAGGGCCAAGCACTTAAAAACAAAGAGAAAAATAAATGAATGGAAAAAAAAACTCACCAAGCGTGCTCAATAAACGTGGCAACGAAGCATCGCATTCGCGGTTCATTCTCACACACAAACTCCAGCATCTCGTCCAAAAAATTGTCCAAAAGCGAGCCGCTTTTATCTCTGCTCAAAAGCAACTCCTGAGCCTGGAAGTCGGCGAATCAAGTAGCATCAGACAAAAAATTGTTAAAAAGTCATCACTAAAATCTTTGAGCCACACATGGATGGAACTTAAATCCACGCCAAACCAAGCTATGCCTGGTTTTCTGTCTTGAGCTGCACCTCTCCAGTAAATATCCCTCTTCAAGACTGTCCGATGGCAATGATTCGGCCGCCTTTTGAAAGAAGTTTAGCAAAGCGTACCAGGGTTGTCAATGCGGTCGTGCATTCCTTGAAGCAAACAGATCGTTAAAAGTATGAATGGTCGTTGCTTTACAGTTTAACATGTACATTTTGTTGATGGTGTTTTTGGTCATTTGTTGTATGTGGTGGGAATGGGGCGCCATCTAACGGCTAGTACGGTGGCTCTGCGTTTTGGAGGGAGGACACGATATCTCAATTTCGATCGGGGATGATGTTGACGATTTTGCATTCTCAAGTTTGTTGTGTATGCACAGGAGGTGCGAGCGTTTGTAAAAGATGATATTACGGTTTTAGTGCGGGCACAAAATATGCTTGCATTCTCGTAAAAATTTGTACTTTCTCGCCTGTCCGATTAGTGGACGAGAAAAATGACGAAAGTGCTGCGATTTGAACACTTGACCCATCCGTGTGCGAAGTATATTCATGTGCGAAACCTCATTTAAGCTTACAGATTTCAGTGCTTTGACTTCCCTGAAAATGTGGCTTCTTGCTCCGTGCAGTTGCAGAGTTAAATCAGCGCTAAAACTGTTCAAAAATGCAGTTTCATTTGCGCTTAATGCGAAACCTAGGCGTGCCACAAAGCTGAATTTAACGAATTTGAACGATAGTTCTAAAAACAGGGGAAGGGGTCACAAATGGAGTGGGAAAATGCGCCAAATGTTTCAGCTTCTCCAGTTGCTGAGCTGGAAGTGGGTGACAAAACTGCAAACACACAAGACAGACAGACAGATACACACACACACACACACACACACATACGCACACATACATAAACAATGACAATCTTTCATCCAAAATGCGTTTTTACATTTGCATAAATGTGCAAAAATGCATAAAAAAGGAGCATAATTCTTGCTAATTTGCCATCACCGTGCATACGTTGCTAGTATTACGTACCTTCAGTAGATGTGCTATGCGGCTCTCCAATGTTCGACCAGTGCTGGGTTGTGCTGCCCGAATTTCATGTCCAATCTAAAACAGCTGCAGTAAATGATGGGCATTTCAGGGGATACAGAAAACAGCGCGAATCAATGAAAAACACAATAAAGAGCGTAGCGTAGTTTAATTTTAATTTTAGTTGGTATATGTTTATGAAAGATTGTAAGGAAATAAAGTGAATAAGTTAAGATTAAAATCTGAATGGTAATGTTCCGGTCCATCAAGTCGCATACATTCCTATTCAGTGCTGCAACTGGACTACGGCTTGTCTCGGTCACACCGACGTCAAACACACTGCAGCATTTTTTTTTTTTTTTTGTTGAAGAATG